GCTAAGTAGCCTTTTCTCCCCAGAATCTGTTAAATTATCTGCTCATTTGAAATTAATCCCGACAACATTGAGGTATTCGCTTTTGGTACCAACCATTAAATATTCAATGAGTGGTTCCCATTTGCCTCAATCTTGTCCCCATTCGCCGTCACGCAGGGGCAAAATCTCTCTTGCTTATTGAAGAGCCCATTGAAGGCATCCAGGAGTTTGCTGATGTTGGGACGAAATTAATTATAAATTCCATCAGATGGCGGCAACAACAGAGAGGAAAGAGAACAAAAGTGGCCTTTCAAGCACCACTTTGGCGCTCGTACTTGAAGATAAATATTTGCCAGCACGTCAGGTGTTACTATGTGCTGCCTGAAGGGTGTTCATTCAGCGCAGGAAAAAAATACAACACAAACAAAAGCAGGAAAGTTGGAACGTGGGCATTGTTTTTCTTTGGTTCTTTAACTTGTTCAGCCTCCCTTCAAGTATTTTTTTAATGATTCTGATTCCTAATGAAAATTTGATATACTAGACAAGAATGTACAAACAAATAGGAGAAGTTGTTCAAAAGATCTTGTAAAATTATCACTCAAAATAATAATTGATAAATTTTATAACCTGCTAGATTGATTTTTTTTAACAAAACAAAAAAATTCTAAATTCTAAAGGGAACTCTAGTGTGTTAACAGTAATTAATTAAATTTCTTAAAACGGAAAAATATATATTAATTACCTAAAATTTTCAAATATTCAAGATTATTATTTAAATCGTAAAAAAATTTCAGAATAAGATAAAAAAATTATGATGAACATTGAATTTAAAACAATTTAAAATAATTGAATAGAAAAGATTTGCCACCGTGGGCGTAGAAGTAGTAGTGTAAAATTAATGCGATACAAATGAAATTGGAATGTTTGCTCTGTAAGTTCATTTTCGCTGGGTGGAACGAAGCTTGTTAACGTTGGCAAGGAAGCTGCACCTAAAAAACTCCATTCCCTCTTTTGTGGGCGGCCAAGGCATTGTCAAAGCATATCTATGCAACCTGCCGTGCAGGTGTGCCCGACAAAAAGCCTAGCTCGCTCGACTGCTGGCTGCTGCCTTGTCAGCCAAAGGCACACGTGATCTTTTTTAGCACCCCCGCCCACTCGCCTCTCTGCGTTAATAACAAAAAGTCTCTGCTGAAAGCCGCAGCTTAGCGAACCACCACGGCTTTTATCAGTTTAGGGAAATTAAGGCAGCTCGTGGATTCATAAAATATTTACGGTAAAAAGTATATGTTTCGTTATCATCGTTATTAATGCGGAAAGAGGGGAAGCTCCCCATAAACCTGTTCTAAAAAGTGGTGCACATCAAAATCGTTCTGCGCGCTTAGCTGCCGGCGGTTTTAAATGCTGGCTGGTAATTTAGGATCTCTCGCTCGTAAAAAGAGGCTTCCCTAACCTAAAAAAGGAAAATTTTTGTCCAGAAGGCCCTTTTCCTCGGACGGAACCCTCGGCTTAGTGTCAGTCTCAAAATCGCGCAAAATAAACCAATTAAAGTGGAGCGGCCGCCGCCGCCGCTGCTAGCCCAAGTTTGTTCTGCGGCTTTTAACAAAAGATTACACGCTACAAGAGCGTGTGTACATTGCTGAGTACATATTATGGCGTGCGGCACAGTTAGCTTTCTTGCTCTGTCTCAATGTGCAACTTTCCTGGCGTTGCTTTCGCCAATTAATTTGCCATCAAACTTCTTCTCCATCCACCGCGCCGACAAAATCGATCCTTTGATCTCTACGAGTTTCTTGCTGGCATGTTCTGTGATTAATAATGTACTAATTAAAATTCACTCTTGTTGAAATGTGCTAATTAATGGTACATTTTTGTTGAACAGACTCTTCTTTATTTATGCCTCGAGTTTTGATCAATAACGATGAAAATTTTTAATGAACATTTCTAGATTCATCGCCATCCATCATTGTCTTATTGTTAATGTAATGGCTGCCGCCAAATTTTGAAGATAATTCTCGTCTTACAATTAGAGTATCTTTTATAAACGTTTTGATCCGTTTTTCGTAATGATCTATCAGAAACTCAACGTCATCTGAATAAATTAGCATTTATTTAACTTGATTTAAGCTTAATATGGGGCTGAATATAGTAAAAAATTAATCTTTTTTTCCAATAATTCTGTCAGTTGGGTATAAATATAAAAATTAAATCAGTTTAATTGATGCATTTCATTAAGTTTGTTTGTAATACCAATAAAAGGTTTGCCCATATCAGTTAAACCTTATTATTACCCAACTGTAAGTGCAAAAAGCACATATCATTGCGCGTAATTAACTTGTCGGTGTTTACGGTGGTTCCTCGTGAATATTTGCAACCTTTCGTGAAACTTTACTGCTCCGCGTGGCCCTCTTTAATGCCCCCATAGACGGCGCACTAAAAGGCCAATGAATTTCGCACGCAAAACTGCGGGCAATTAAGCCGAATCCACATAAATCAACCGCATTACGCGCCCCGGAGATAAAAATTTTCGCCCGTCCCTGTAACGGATCTCGACTGGTGTTTTGCGCCAACTCTATATAGAGGTGAGTTGGTAATGCCTCTATAAGCACTCGGTGTTGGCGCAGTTTGCTAAATTAGAACCTGCCATTGGAAGAGCAGCATGCATATTGAGAGAGGAGAAAGACCGACCCTATAATTGTTTGTATAATGAGCGCTCGTAAAAATAAAAAGACCTCTTGTTTTAGAGCTACATCGTATTACTAGTTTTCCCACTTCTAGGTCTGGCACGCGGCTTTTGAATGCTGTCCTTTTCAAAGGCAATTCTGGCAAAAGTTGGGCATAACTAGCTGCGGCTGAAAATGAGAATCGGAGGACTACGGACGTTTTGCAAATATGGATAGGATACTCCATAAATATGAATTAGCTCGCTCTCATTTATTTAAATGGTATCGTTACATTTAATGAAACTGCCATAGTTTCTTAGGAATAAAGAGGAAATTGTATCATTTATCAAATTAATTAAATCGGTGCTTATTTATTTAAGGAAACAATAACAGCTTCATTGTAAAAAAAAAAATTAAGGGAATTACATCCCAATACATCATTCTAAAATTAAAAAATTTATGAATAAACAATAAAACAAATTTATATCCTATATTTTAAGTAAAATCAATTAAATTTTATTCACAGATTTTCATTTTATAGGTGAGGAGCTAAATAATTTTTACATTTTTTTACTTAGGACATTATTATGACAATTAATTTACATTAATCTGGATTAATCCAAAAGCAAGCCAATTTCATGTGCATCATTTAAACTTGAAAATTTTGATTTTAATTCATTTTTATTTTCTGATTCCATCATGAATATGATAAAAAAAAAATAAGAATAATTAATTATATAGCAATTCAATTCTTTAATAATTATAATTAAATAAATAACAATTTATTCCACTTTTTCTCTAAATTTCTAGTCTATTTTTCCTTGCCCCTTTTTTAAACAGCAATTAACTAACAGCAGGAAGATTAGCGAGTCAAAGAGTATAAAAGTTAGACGGAGCGGATGTCGCTTGCGTGCTCGCTATCAAGCAATCCCCTCGCCGAAGAAGAATGGACCGAGGAGCAGAGCGGACTCTAGTTTTATGTACACACACACAAAAAGCTCACCCTTTTCTGGTGGCGCTTTTGCAAATGTGTCACTCGGTTGAGCCTTTTCTTTGCCTTTTGCTCGACGGGTCAACACCGCGTCTGCCCTCTGGATGATTTTTGCAGTAAAAGCAATTTTCACTTAAAAACATTTTTCTTTAGAAGTGAACAATTATTTTTCACTAAAATTAATTAGTTTTCAATGAGCGATTATTATCACACTCATGGGCCCTCCTTTTGTTCTGAAAAAATATTATCCACTCTAAACGAACGATCGTTTGAAATGCATGCTTATCCAAAATCTAAGCCACAAAACAGAGTTGGCCCGTTGACTGACGCAATCCAGTGGCAAATAAAAAGGTCTCCTTGATGAGACTTGGTTACAAAATGCTGCGCACCAAATCCAAACTGCAGTGGCGGCAACAAGGGTGTTGGGGGAGGAGAATTACACGGGCCCCGGGTCAGCCCGACGAATTGTAAAAAAAATTAACAAAAAAAATTTGGCGAAAAATGATTCAGGCAAAAAATATTTTGGGTTGGGCGAAAAATTTTGCTTTTTCAATATAGTACAAAAATTTTCTCTTGACATTAAATATGTTAATATGATCTAAAAATTCATTTTCGTTTGAAATTTAATAAATTTTGACGACACATTTACCAACCACTAAACAGCCGTAATATTTTTTATTTAAAAAAAAACTATAATTAAAAATATATTATATTATAAATATGATCAAAAATTTTATTTAAAAAGGTTTTGCTAATTTTTTTCTGAATTTTTATTAAAAAACTAATTCATAACAGTGCTTTATCATAATTAATAAATGGTAATTTGAATTTTCTTTCACTTTGCTTCCCAAATCGTTTTTTAATCTAAAAAAATTCGAAAATTTTATTGAAAAGGTGAAATTTTCAAAAAGTTCACCAACTTTTCTAAGGTTTTGAATGTACCAGCAGCCTTTTTCGCGCGATTACTATTTTTTATTTATATCATTTCCATTTTTCAAATAGCCAAATTTTAAGCATGGCTCAAATTTTATTCAAAACGCCCATGAAAATTAGCATCTGTTTTAATCTGCTCATTACAGTTAATTTTTGCTAAAATGATTCTATAAAAACAGCCGCTTCATTTCATTATACATCGCGGTAAAATGTAAAGCAATTAGTTGCATTGGTTGGACAAGGAGCGCGGATGCTACGCCCACGCCCCCTCTCCCCTTCGCTCTCTGACCACAGCAGTGTGAGCAGCAGCAGCAGTGACGTGGCCGTGACATTCAGACAGCGTGGACAAGTGCAGTGTGCATCATGGCGGCACCGGTGCTGCGTGATCCGCTTTTGTCGGCCTTTCTCAACGAAATAAGTTGTATTAGGGTTCGTCTGACCTGTCTACCGCATGGAGTTCGAGGCCCGACCCTACCCTGACCCTCAGGTATAGTTTTAATGGCGCTCCCACTCACAAATCGCGTCCGTTATCTGCATGAAACGTGTGTGGTTTGCGACGGACTTCCTCCGACCAGAGCATCTGCGAAATGAATTTCATCTAACATCGACAAGGTTTGAGAATTCTTTGTCCTAATACTAATTACAATTTTCTGAAGGAAATCTTTCAAGTTTACAGTTTTTTATCTGTACATTTCATGTTGAATTTGAACCTCAATCATCTGTCCCAGATTAAAAATGGTTTAACTCTCTTTAAAAATAGTTTTTTGATCAATAGTAATTCACACAAACTCTTTTGTGTCTTTTGGAAACAAACAATGATAATTTTTAATTGCATATCAACCTTATCTGAACTTTTAAATTTATTAGCATTCTTACAGTTGCAGCCATGCAATTCAAAGGAGAAGCACTGAGCACCTGAAATCATAAGTCCTGGCAAGTTTGAGATCATCTACGACTCAGTCAGGAAAATCTATATTGCCAGTGCCAAGAACACTCTAAAATGAAGAGCAGGTGTGTGCTTTGAGTTTTTTACAACCTGTCTACAAAGAATTATATTACATTTCCTCTTTTTTTAGCAGTGTTTCAAGAGGTTGACATTTGACATACAGTTTTGCGAAGACCAGATTCCTCTACGATGATGATGGGTTGAGTTTTGTGTTGTCACCGACAGACCAAGATTAAAGTTTGTTGAATTTTTAATCACTCACCAGATATAGCTAAAAAGTATTTATAAATTATTTTAAACTAATTATCACAGTATATTTATCCCAATTATTATGAACATTTCACACACTCATTATGCTTATAAACTTATGAATTTGAGTTTCTGTACGGGTGCGGGGCCAGCAACTAATACCGGTCAGATGGATCGGTTTGAGCTGAAAGCGGCCAAAGGGGACGTTGCCCGCCACCGCTGGTACGGAGTTGCCGAATGGGCGTGCATAATGACGAGCGGCGTCACAACCACCCATTGAGCTTCTCCATGCGGGAACACGGTGGCAGCTTGTGCCGGGGGCTGGCGATTCTGGAACAATAATCGCCAAAGTCCTCGTCTGGAGGGTTCGCCGAATCCAGACGTGTACAACTGCCACCGTGGTGCACTGAGTAAACCACACAACTCGTATGTTGAGCCGCAGCGAGACCACATACAGAGTTGCCAAGAAAGAGTGGAATCTCAGTGTGGCACATGGGCCTAAAAGAGGTTGGGTTCATTGTTTGCCCTTGCGGAGTGACGCCGGGCTTCTTTGAACACCTTCCACGGTGCTGTAGGGGGAGCCCCTTCCTCTCAAGTAATGCTGGAAGAAAAACTTAGTACATCGTGATGTCTGCTTACCTTCGCAGGATTCCCGCACCCACTCCACGCGAATCGTCACTCTTTTGTAAATCAACATATGGCCAAATTTAATTTAAATTGTGTTTCTGAACAAGTCTGACTTGAATTCTTTATGTGCTAAGTGCAAGTAATGTTGAATTTTCATAAACTGTAAATTCGTATGTTCATTAATTAAGAAAAAAAAAACTGAAATCTAATTAAATTAGCCTTTGTATTAAAATTTGTAGAAATCAAAATTTGCAGATCATGTTTGCCAAGAGTGATAAAGAGATAAGATAACTTTGGCACTGGTGAACGCACAGCGTCTAAAACATTTGTTGTTTTCAACATGGTGGAACTGAATTGTTTATAGAATTTGCATTCAGTGGACTTTTATAATTTATCAAACTTAATAATTGATTACAAATTTTTTGGCCTCAAAGTATCAGAGGATAAAGTTTGAAAAGTAAACGCACCAAATTTCTTATGTTAATAATGAAATTGCATGAAATGATGTGAAACCAAATTTGCCAAGATACATTATAAAAGGAATAAATTCGAATTTATTGTCAGTGTAGGATTAAATAGAATGTTAGGAGGCAAGTGAAAATGGCTTAGAATGAAGAATAGGGTAACACAACTAACACATTACATTGCTAATTTTGTCGTAAAATAGATCAATTTGCTAAAAGTTTCTATTCTACAGATCCTGCCTGAGCTTGGCAACTTGACTTTTGGCTTAATGAAAGGTGCTGGCTTTTTCAACATCTTTGGAGAGAAAACCAGATGGATGTCATCAAAAGACTTCAAGTGAGATATCCTCTCGTTGTTTAAATAGAAGTTGCTTTTTAATTTTTTTAGTGTGTTTAATTTAAAAGAACTCGTTGTACTTTTTGTGTTTTGCATGCGATTTTCTTGATTGGAAATAACTTATATTAAGTCAGAAATTTCATATTGTGAGTTGAACTTGTTTAAATAAAGATAATTAAGATCTTCAAGGGTTGAAATGATTTGATCTAATTTTAAATTGAAATTTCACAATTCAAAGATTACTTTGCATCCTACCAGTAGTTAACTAAATTTTAATATTTTTAGCATTAAAATCCATCACCGAGAAAAGTGGAAAATCCAGTCGAGCTTGCGATGGCCTACAACTTTCTAAATGCAAGTACACTTTTCCTTCCCACAGCAGTGTGAGCAGCAGCAGCAGTGATGTGGCCGTGACATTCAGACAGCGTGGACAAGTGCAGTGTGCATCATGGCGGCACCGGTGCTTCATGATCCGCTTTTTGTCGGCCTTTCTCAACGAAGTAAGTCTTGTTAGGGTTCGTCTGACCTGTCCACCGCATGGAGTTCGAGGCCTGACCATACCCTGACCCTCAGGTATAGTTTTAATGGCGCTCCCACTCACAAATCACGTCTGTTATCTGCATGAAACGTGTGGTTTGCGACGGACTTCCTCCGACTTTCGTTTTTACGCTCTCGTGAGAAATCTTGACAATGAAATCAGTTAAATAATCCCAGAATTATTGAATTTTCAAACCTAATTGTTAACACGTCTAAAGTTTAATTAATAATTATGCCATGCACATGAAACATTATTAACATAATCATTATTTTTGTTGCAACAAGTGTAAATATTTAATACATAACTTTTGTTGTTAGAAGTGAAATTCATTTTACAATTTATTTCTATGTTTGTATTAATGTTTAAAATTTGAAACAGGTTTGAACCGCAATAACAACTCTACCTGTGGCTGAAATGTACGGTTTTGTCATCTACGGGAGCAGTACCGGAGGTGGAAAATGTGATCATCAGCCTTTCTAGTGTCCAGCTGCTCTGGATTCCGCAATGTTCACTAAGAACGGACGCATCGTCCTACGACTTCAGGTCAGAGAGACACGTGGCATCAACCAGAGCATCTGCGAAATGAATTTCATCCAACATCGACAATACCTGAGGTTTGAGAATTCTTTGTCCTAATACTAATTACAATTTTCTGAAGGAAATCTTTCAAGTTTACAGTTTTTTATGTGTACATTTCATGTTGAATTTGAAATGCCATTAAATCCTCAATCATCTGTCCCAGATCTCTTTAAAAATAGTTTTTTGATCAATAGTAATTCACACAAACTCTTTTGTATCTTTTGGAAACAAACAATGAAAATTTTTAATTGCATATCAACCTTATCTGAACTTTTTAAATTTAATAGCATTCTTAAAGTCGCAGCCAATTCAAAGGAGAAGCACTGAGCACCTGAAATCAAAAGTCCTGGCAAGTTTGAGATCATCTACGACTCAGTCAGCAAAATTTGTTGCCAGTGCCAAGAACACTCTCAAATGAAGAGCAGGTGTGTGCTTTGAGTTTATTACAACCTGTCTACAAAGAATTAAATTGCATTTCCTCTTTTTTGCAGTGTTTGAAGAGGTTGACATTTGACATACAGTTTTGCAAAGACCAGATTCCTCTACGCTGATGGGTTGAGTTTTGTGTCGTCACCGACAGACCAAGATTAAAGTTTGTTGAATTTTTAATCACTCACCAGATATAGCTAAAAAGTATTTTTAAATTATTTTAAACTAATTATCACAGTATATTTATCCCAATTATTATGAACATTTCACACACTCATTATGCTTATAAACTTATGAATTTGAGTTTCTGTACGGGTGCGGGGCCAGCAACTAATACCGGTCAGATGGATCGGTTTGAGCTGAAAGCGGCCAAAGGGGACGTTGCCCGCCACCGCTGGTACGGAGTTGCCGAATGGGCGTGCATAATGACGAGCGGCGTCACAACCACCCATTGAGCTTCTCCATGCGGGAACACGGTGGCAGCTTGTGCCGGGGGCTGGCGATTCTGGAACAATAATAGCCAAAGTCCTCGTCTGGAGGGTTCGCCGAATCCAGACGTGTACAACTGCCACCGTGGTGCACTGAGTAAACCACACAACTCGTATGTTGAGCCGCAGCGAGACCACATACAGAGTTGCCAAGAAAGAGTGGAATCTCAGTGTGGCACATGGGCCTAAAAGAGGTTGGGTTCATTGTTTGCCCTTGCGGAGTGACGCCGGGCTTCTTTGAACACCTTCCACGGTGCTGTAGGGGGAGCCCCTTCCTCTCAAGTAATGCTGGAAGAAAAACTTAGTACATCGTGATGTCTGCTTACCTTCGCAGGATTCCCGCACCCACTCCACGCGAATCGTCACTCTTTTGTAAATCAACATATGGCCAAATTTAATTTAAATTGTGTTTCTGAACAAGTCTGACTTGAATTCTTTATGTGCTAAGTGCAAGTAATGTTGAATTTTCATAAACTGTAAATTCGTATGTTCATTAATTAAGAAAAAAAAAACTGAAATCTAATTAAATTAGCCTTTGTATTAAAATTTGTAGAAATCAAAATTTGCAGATCATGTTTGCCAAGAGTGATAAAGAGATAAGATAACTTTGGCACTGGTGAACGCACAGCGTCTAAAACATTTGTTGTTTTCAACATGGTGGAACTGAATTGTTTATAGAATTTGCATTCAGTGGACATTTTATAATTTATCAAACTTAATAATTGATTACAAATTTTTTGGCCTCAAAGTATCAGAAGATAATGTTTGAAAATTAAATGCACCAAATTTTTTATGATGATAATGAAATGCATGAATTGATGTGAAACCAATTCATAATCTAAAAGGAATAAATTTGAATTTATTGTCAGTGTAGGATTAAATAGAATGTTAGGAAGCAAAAGAAAATAGCTTAGAATGAAGACTAGGGTAACACAACTAAAACATTACATTGCTAGTTTTGTTGTCAAATAGATCAATTTTCTAAAAGTTTTTTCTATTCTACAGATCCTGCCTGAGCTTGGCAACTTGTCCTTTGGCTTAATGAAAGGTGCTGGCTTTTTCAACATCTTTGGAGAGAAAACCAGATGGATGTCATCAAAAGACTTCAGGTGAGATATCCTCTCGTTGTTTAAATAGAAGTTTTTTTTTAGTTTTTTAAATGTGTTAAATTTAAAAGAACTCGTAGTATTTTGTGTTTTGCATGCGATTTTCTTGATTGGAAATAACTTATATTAAGTCAGAAATATCATATTGTGAGTTGAACTTGTTTAAATAAAGATAATTAAGATCTTCAAGGGTTGAAATGATTTGATCTAATTTTAAATTGAAATTTCACAATTCAAAAATTACTTTGCATCCTACCAGTAGTTAACTAAATTTTAATATTTTTAGCATTAAAATCCATCACCGAGAAAAGTTGAAAATCCAGTCGAGCTTGCGATGGCCTACAACTTTCTAAATGTAAGTACACTTTTCCTTCTCAACGTTATTTACATAGAAATTTCCAATTTATTTTTTTTTTAACTTTGGCGCTATCGTGACCTGAGACGTGATTTTTGCAGGGCGGTTATTTTACAATGTTTAGAATACTCAGATAAGTGCCTTTAGTTTGCTCAGATTGTTTTGAATCGCTTGACCTGGAATTGGTCTAATTTTGTGCGGGTTTCGGGGTCAGTCCCTGTATGTTGTATATTTATTTTAAAATTCTTTAGTTTTAATATTTTGATCAAACTTAGCGTAAGAATTAAATTCTTCTTTGAAAACTAGTTTGAGGTACAATCCAAAAAATTAATTAAGCGTCTACAGTTTTCACAGCTGCAATGATTAAAGAACTATTTTTATGCATCAGGCAGTCAATTTGAATCCAAAATTATATTTAATTAGACAAGAAATAGTTGAAATAATAACAAAGGGTGGCTTAATTCAATTATTAATATTCAGGCAGAACCAAATCAATACACAGCTAATTAAATTTTATGGTCGAAACATTTAATTAATATTCAACTATCACACTCAATATGCAAATTTCCGCTTTGAAGTTGCAGTAATCGCTGGCGCGGTTTTGCTGCGACACACTACTTTGGCCCAAACAAAAGTCCCGCGAGCTAATTGTACCGCGGGAATTAATTAATCATCTAGCGCGGTACCAAATTAATTCTGCTTGTCGTCGCGAACGGCGCCTGCCAATTTGCCGACTAAAATATGCAAACGCGCGCAATTCATTATGAATCGGCGGTGCCTGAAATGGCGTTCTTGTTTGTTCATGAATTATTCCGCTGCGTTTGTGCGCACTTATATTTCCGTCAGCGTAACTCTCGAGAGCTCACGTGTTTCTGCCAGGTTTCCTGGTGCTGAGGTGAGAAAGTGCGGTTGACGATCCGTCTCTGCTCATTAGTTGCAGATAATGGAATGCGTGACCCCCTCGCTAATTTTGAAACCCAATTGTGGTGCCAGCAGCCATAAATCAGTGCTCGGAAGGGCGGCGCTCTCAAAATTGGCTTCCCTTTCGCAGTTCTAATCGCGCGAAACCAGCCGTCTTTGCTTCCCCCTTTCCGCATTTCAAATAATTATGCCTTTTGAAATAACTAGCTGCTAAAATTTTAATGAGATTTGTAATGATTTTCAGGGTTAATTCAATTTTATAGGCAATGCTTATTTCTGATGGTTTGGATACATTTCTGAAGACATAATTCTAATAGATTTGTGTCTTCATCTGCTAACTTTGGAATTAATACATAATAATAATTCTTTTAAACCAAATTTAAAAAATAACCAACCGCAACGAAAAAAAAATTGTACGTACTACTATAGGGTTTTGAAAGTACCAAAAGTTTTTTGGTAATTATAAGTAACTTTTCTACAAAACACCCATGTAAATTAATATCTGTTCTACTTAAAATTAATTTTTGATGAAATGATTTTATAACAACAGCCACTGTAAAATGTATAGCAATTAGTTGAAATTGGTTGGACTTTCAACATGGAGTGCGGATGCCAAATAATGCTGCCCCATGGTGAGCTGCAGATTAGTAGATTATGGCGAGGCGGCATCAAGGCAATTTGTAGTTGCTGAATGTGAACCCTCTTAGCACTACCGCACTCTGATGATTAAAATTGTTGTCCTGGACCAGCCTTTGATGGCGCATGATTGCCTGGCAGACCGAATCCACAATTCCATAGAGGCTCACGTAACGAATTGATCACTCATTGTCAGTTTTTATTTGTTACCGGTTTAGCGCGATGAAAAATTGTGAAAACAAAATTAACACTTTCTAAATTATTTAAAAGCCTATAATTTACATGATTTCTAAATTTTGAAACAAATTATTTATTATTCTTATGCAGAAATTATGTAAAATTTTAATTAAAGTTTCTTTCTATGAAGCAATCGGTGATTCGCCTCAATTATTTGTAAATTTGTACTGAAAAAAACTAAATCTATTTCAGTTTTTGATGTTAAAAATAAGCACTCTAAAAACGTTGTTAAATTTTAGGCGGTGTAAAAATTGCGGCTGAAAATGAGGTTTAGGCAGAGATCAAGTTCTTATCGCGAGGAAAATTCGATAAACCGGTATGTACTTTTAAGCAGAGGGAGAGAAGAGAGAGCAGTTGTAAAACTTTTTCGCGCGTAAAGGAAAACTAAATTCACTCTCTTATTGGCTTTCTCGTCGTAGCTCTTTGTGCGAAAGGGATTCCATCAGGCCTCTCTTTCAACCAGCCATTGCGGAAGATGGAAAGGAGAGTGTAGGGCGGCGGCTCTTTCTTGTGAATTCTCATCTCAAGCCACGGAAATTTAAGAGGGACCCAAACTTTGTTGAGCAGCGCCCGATTCAAAGGCTGATCCATCATCTTGCGCGAGAGCAGTCGTTGACCTGCAACCTCATCTTCATTAATAGCACATTACTGGGCCGAAATTCGTTGCTCCGTCGCAGCTCATCAAAATGCAATATGCACTCGTGGCGGTTCATCTTGATTATCGCGGCCGCCACTTTTGCACGTCCAATATGAACTCAACGCGCCCGACGGGAACATCATCACGCTGCTTTTATCTGCTCTCGCGCCGCTTTTTACAACTCGGGAGAATCGCGCCGAACCAGCCACTTCTCATCAGTGAGCTGTCAGAAGTTGGAAGAGAGACTGGAAACTCCCATTATCCGCGTCGAGACGAAGGCATGATCTTGTTCAAAGCATTTGGGAAAAGAAATCTCAAAAGTTCCGGGAAAATATAAAATTTAAATGAATAATTTCAAGTTTTTAATGAAGGATTTCTTCAAGAAAAGTTTCATATTTTTTAGTAAAATACAATTTCGGTGTAATTTTTAATAAAATATATTTAAGAATGTAAAATTTCACGTTACTGAAAAAAACACAAAAATCACAGATAGCAAAAATTCAACGGCCCAGAGCAGCCCAGAGTTAATTATTAATTTTAAATTTTAATTCATACCATTCCAGCTAATATTATTTTGTTAATTTCAGGTTGCTGTTATATTAATATTGTTGGGATTATAGGGCTGATATCAACTATACGGTCTTCAAAATAGAATAAATTTGCGAAAAATATTTATATTATTGTAATATTTCTTTGCCGAAGCAAGATATTTGAAATATTCAATTAATATAGGCCTCTCAATGGCTATAAAGCCGATGTGCACGACGTAATTTTAAGGTTGCAATTAAATTAATATTGTTGGCATTATAGGGCTGATATCAACTAAACGGTCTTCAAAAGGGAATAAATTTGCGAAAAATATATTTATTATTGTAATATTTCTTTGCCGAAGCAAGATATTTTGAATATTAAATTAATATAGGCCTCTCAATGGTTATAAAGCCAATGTGCACGACGTAATTTTAAGGTTGCAATTAAATTAATATTGTTGGGATTATAGGGCTGATATCAACTAAACGGTCTTCAAAATAGAATAAATTTGCGAAAAAAACATATATTATTGTTATATTTCTTTGCCGAAGCAAGATATTTATAATATTCAATTAATATAGGCCTCTCAATGGTTATAAAGCCAATGTGCACGACGTAATTTTAAGGTGGCTGTTAAATTAATATTGTTGGAAATATTGGGCTGTTATCAACTAAACGGTCTTCAAAATAGAATAAATTTGCGATAAAATCATATATTATTGTTATATTTCTTTGCCGAAGCACGATATTTAGAATATTCAATTAATATAGGCCTCTATATGGCTTCAAAGCTGATGTGCACGACGTAATATTAAGGTTGCAATTAAATTAATATTGTTGGGATTATAGGGCTGATATCAACTAAACGGTCTTCAAAATAGAATAAATTTGCGAAAAAACATATATTATTGTTATATTTCTTTGCCGAAACAAGATATTTAGAATATTCAATTAATATAGGCCTCTATATGGCTACAAAGCTGATGTGCACGCGTAATTTTAAGGTTGCAATTAAATTAATATTGTTGGGATTATAGGGCTGATATCAACTAAACGGTCTTCAAAATAGAATAAATTTGCGAAAAAAACATATATTATTGTTATATTTCTTTGCCGAAGCAAGATATTTATAATATTCAATTAATATAGGCCTCTCAATGGCTATAAAGCCGATGTGCACGACGTAATTTTAAGGTGGCTGTTAAATTAATATTGTTGGAAATATTGGGCTGATATCAACTAAACGGTCTTCAAAATAGAATAAATTTGCGAAAAAATCATATATTATTGTTATATTTCTTTGCCGAAGCAAGATATTTAGAATATTCAATTAATATAGGCCTCTATATGGCTTCAAAGCTGATGTGCACAACGTAATTTTAAGGTTGCAATTAAATTAATATTGTTGGGATTATAGGGCTGATAAAAACTAAACGGTCTTCAAAATAGAATAAATTTGCGTAAAAAACATATATTATTGTTATATTTCTTTGCCGAAACAAGATATTTAGAATATTCAATTATTATAGGCCTCTATATGGCTACAAAGCTGATTTGCACGACGTAATTTTAAGGTTGCAATTAAATTAATAATGTTGAGAATATTGGGCTGATATCAACTAAACGGTCTTCAAAATAGAATCAATATGCGAAAAAAACATATATTATTGTTATATTTCTTTGCCGAAACAAGATATTTAGAATATTCAATTAATATAGGCCTCTATATGGCTACAAAGCTGATGTGCACAACGTAATTTAAAGGTTGCAATTAAATTAATATTGTTGGGATTATAGGGCTGATATCAACTAAACGGTCTTCAAAATAGAATTAATTTGCGAAAAAAACATTTATTATTGTTATATTTCTATGTCGAAGCAAGATATTTTTAATATTAAATTAATATAGGCCTCTATATGGCTACAAAGTTGATGTGCACAACGTAATTTTAAGGTTGCAATTAAATTAATAATGTTGAGAATATTGGGCTGATATCAACTAAACGGTCTTCAAAATAGAATCAATATGCGAAAAAAA